TATTTTCGTTTTTTATTCCCCACATTTCTTTTGTCCACTCTATGTAAACGAGGATGACTTCTAAAGATATAAAATATGTGTGTGCATTATGTATATTGGCCAAAACAAAATTGCCCAATGAATATATGCTGATGGGCATAATGGGAGTGACAGGCACGAATATATGGTTGCCCATATACCCTATTGGTTGCCCATATGAAAAATGGCGATCGCATTACTGGAAGTGACGCGGCAACGTGCCGGATGTCACTTCCGGTCACAGACGTAATTAGCAAAACGGAACATAACAAGCCACAATACACTCCCCCTAAATGGAGGATTTAATTGGCCAATGAGTAGCAGAATCCACCAATGGGGAACCAGACCACCATATTTAAACAAGACAGAACAGACAAGCAGTGAATACCGATTGAGAAAGCCCTCAAGTAGGGTGAAATGCGTCTCGGAACTAAAGGACATCTGTGGGACATTTTTTACTCTATTTGTTTCTTTTATATTACTTGTTTGTAGTTTAATTGCCTGCTGGCGAAATAAATTTTATTTTATTCTTTAATCAAGTCCCCTTTGACCCTCATCAGGAGGGAAGGTGTCTCCCTTATTGACATCCACGCTAACAAACTCAGAGCCGAGTACCTGGACTCTGAATAAGGTGAGCACTTATTTAAAGTTAAAGTACACTGACCTTCATGTCATAAATACTACACTATATTATCTTCCATTGTACCATCTTGGTATCTCCTTTTTTTGAGGGAATCCACCAACATTTTTAAAGGGGACAAGTACCACCAGACGGTACTAAAGTGTGAGTGATTTGCGCCTATCCCACCCTAGGCTCTATACCATGTGAGTTGGCATATCTTGACTATTGTACAACGATTAATTACCATACAGATTTACACTATCATCTTCTTTCATGTTTTTCCTTTCATTTATGTATATGCTGAATTTAAAGTGATACTGTTGTAATACCAGGACTAGACAACCCTTTTTTCAGGGTAGGTGTCCAATTATATCACTGCATGCTCCACTCATACAGGTGAACTGCCTTTGGCTTTTCTACCTTTCTTCTGGTCTACATCCTGATGAATGTCTTTTACAGGCTGAAACGTTGATGTACTGTGACTGCACTCACAATAAATATTTATTCTTGAGAGAAACTGCATTTTCACTAGTGATATCATCATCGTGATAAGTTTTACTGTTTTGAAACACTCATATTTGTATTCAGTAATATCCCATGAGTACAATAACAGTAACCCCATGTCCAGGTTTTATGGTGTTCTGGAAAGTTACAGGATTAAATATAAGGCTTGCAAATTAGCTTCATGTAAACTGCGTGGGTGGTAAGTGTTATCCTCAATCATGAGGAAGTCATCCAGGTAGTGCATAACTGTGGGGCATCTATTTATGTTAAGTAACAACAACTAGTATAATGTCTCAGCAAATATCTCAAATATTTTTGGGCTAATTTTGGAACCAAATGTAAATTGGGAGAAGAAGTAGTAAAGACCTTTCCATTTAATGCAGGTGCAAGAGTGATGGGAGTATGGGGAGAAGTTTAAAGGCATTTACTATGTCTGTTTTACAGAGCCAAGCACCAAACTCTGCTTTAAGATTTAATCGTGTTATCTATAGTAGTGTACTGAAGGGAAAATTCGTCTGAGGGAATCAGAGAATTCAAAATAGTCCACCAGCTTGTGCATGTACAGGTCAAATTCCTCTCTACTGTGAGGATAAACAGAGCAGAGGACATCCCTGTAGATCCCAAATGCCAATACAAATTCTTGAATAGACAGTTTCCTATTCAAGCATGGGTCCCTAGCTTTTAAGACAACCGACAAGTCCCTGTGCGCATATGTCCTATTATCAATGTTACCCTGGAGGCAATCAGGAGCAAAACATCTTTGCCCTCCGGTATATCTTTTTGGATATTGGATGGGACCATGTTGTAGCGGAGTGCTAGTCTTGACCAGAACTCTCCTCCGCTGGATCACCAATAACTGGAACTCAGGAACAAGATACTGCAACGTGAATAGCCCTCATCCTCCCCAGTAACTGGATCTGGGAGTACAATTGATTTATTCCACACAGACTCAGCCTTTTATGCATAGACCCCGAGCATGGGGTCTCCATTCAAAAAGTACACAAGCCCCTCCGAGTCATCCCATTGTCTAAGAGATAATTGAGTCCAAAATGAGTAACTCAATTATCTCTTAGGTACAGGAAAATATAACATATACACAAAACATCCCAAAAACATGTTGTAATTCACAAGAACCCCACAATTCGTTTATCTCCTGTGGCGGGACCGCTGAATGTCCGTGAATTGCCTTTCTTTATATTATGTATTCTTTATACTCATTCAGGAGTGCCTCCACAAAGGGAATTCATTTGCCTACCGAATGGGGACCACCCGATACCTAATTTAGAATGTTAGTTTAGAACCTTCACACCTCGCAACATAATTATCAAACCGCAAACTGCAAGGGAAACTATGAATGAGCGATCCCCTGGATGGCCGCCATTCGTACAGACAAACGCCAGCCAGGGGGAACGTTCATGGACGGTTTCTTGACTCCCCAGTGCCCCATTAGAATGTTCACAACAATTAAACAGTACATTCTCACTCGCAACCTAAGTGTGAAACTGCAAAGGGAAGCAATTAATGAGTGCTTCCCTGGGTGGCCACTGTTCATATATATGAACGCAATCCAGGGGGAGCATTCGTACCCCGAAAGGAGACGCTTCCCTTGTCAGGGTTTCACACTGGGACCTCGCAAACAGAGACTAGCCAATCGAGGGACTGAGGCGAGGAACCCTGAGATTGGTGTGGGAACTTCTGGGGCACTGACGAGACCAGCTCTTTTCCAATGGGCTCAAGGATATGGATCGTAGTTTGGCATACTACGCAAATCCCTGCACAGAACTCATGACCAGGATCTTTGCCGAGGCACAAGTGTATGTCCTGGCTCAGAGAGCTTGGGTGAACCCGATGCCCATCCATGGGGAAGTGTTCTGGGGAAGTGTTCCCAGGTCGTCCGGCAGCCCCAGGACCCAAGCCAAAACTATGTTACCAAGCCTTGAAGAAGTTTGCGGAGGCTGAAGAGGGCATAGATGACTTTTTGCAGGAATTTGAGCACCTCTGCCTCAAAGTCCTGCAGACTGGGTTCCCATTTTGGCAGAGAAAGTCATGGGGAAAGCTGCGGAGGCTTACCGGGCTGTGACAGGAGGAGTGCGTGAGAACAATGCCACTGTGAAGCAGGTCCTATTTACAAGGTATGACAGACTGGAGGAACTGTTGCTGTCCAGTTAGAAGGGGGTGTACTTCACCACCTGCCCTGTCACATCCTGTTCCTAGCTGCGGATCATTCTGGCTATGGCTTCTGGTATCCAGTACTCTTTTTTTTACAATTCTTGTTTAGTTTTTCTTGGTTTTTTATTCTATGTCTGGTTTTCTTTATGCTGGGATTTCTGGGTTAATTCCTATATTCCATCCCTGGATTTCCCAGTCTCTTGGATTCATTTAAATGTTTGTTTTATGTTGCCACACTCGTTTGTTTTCCATTTTCCTTTTGTTTCAGTCTGGACCTGCAGCAGTGATTCAAGTCTCTGCCCTTTCTTGCAGATAAGTGCTATATATGTGTTTCTTTGGTTGTTTTAGCATACATTAGGCAGTGTAGGACCTGCCAGATATGGGGTACATTGGCGTTGTTGGCAGGCTTATGCAATGTATGATCATATAATGTGACTAAATCCCCATGATTTTCATATATAGTACTTGGTTATTTCTCTTCTTGTTTTGCCATTCATAGCTTGTCTTGTTTTAGTTTGTATTCCCAGTCCATGTACAGTCCTGTCCAGTCCTGCCCATGTTATGTCAATGTTTCCCTTATATATTGTGTACATGTTCTGGGTTTAGTTTCCTATTCTTCTCTGGTTCTTGGTTCTACTAGTTCTGTCTTGTTTTCATGTTTGGTGACTATCCTAGCCATGCCTTGTTTTCTGTACTGGATACATTCTTGCTGCAGAGCCCCCCTATCCAGTTCCTGGGAGGTCTGCATATCAAGCTCCTAGTTCCTGGGATCCGCTGTAGCTGCATCAGGGTTCTGGTATGTGGCCGCGCAAACACTGGTGCTCAACGCCAGAGGACGTGTGGTTACCCTGCACCAGGCCCTGATAGTCCATTACCACGCTGAAGACTCCCACTTCTCATCAGGCACTCAGGGGTCCCAGTTTCCGTACCACCACCCGTGACAGCCCACAGCTCGAGTCCATCTCGATTGGGGCGCCGGAACCATATAATGGAGGTCGGGTTATGAGGGAGCTCTCTAGAAGGGGGTCCGTCGTCCACCAGGAAAAATAAAATATAGAAGTCAACAGGTCATATGCATGAACTTTTTTTACATAAATCTTTATTTCATAACAAATGAAAAACTAAAGGGGAGTGTGACGGAGCTCCGCACTTCGACCAAATATCTCCGCCATGTCTGTTTTCCTGGCACTAGAGAATCCTACAGTGCCCACCTCCCTCCAGCCACCCATCCCATCCCATGTTAAAACCCCAGTGACGATGTCCCTCTGTGCTGGATCAGGCTCCGCGTGCGTGCATTTGACCTCCCTATAGAAAAGCATTAATCAATGCTTTCCTATAGGAATTCTGGGGGATGCTGAAGGTCCTCATGCATAGCGTGAGGATTTCTAGCAGTGTTTAAGTGACCAAAAAGTCATTAAAGAAACTGAAAGTCCCTCTAGTGACTGTCTGACAGGCTGCAGCTCTCTTCTTCTAGGCAGGTACAGTCCAGTGGTGTCACTAGGGAGTGGGCCCTTGTGACCCCCCAATTAAAATTGAAGTGGGGAGCACTGCATCTCCCTTCACAAGCTGCAGCAGCACTGTCACTGTGGAACTGTGTTCCACCCTTTTCCCACATGCTGCCAGAGGGGGCGCTCTGCTGTATTCCCACATGCTGCCAGAGGGGGCACTGTGCTGGTATCCCACATGCTGCCAGACTGGGCACTGTGCTGTATTCCCACATGCTGCCAGAAGGGGCATTGTGCTGTATTCCCACATGCTGACTCGGCTAAATGGTCGAGCATAGTCCTGCTCAAGCTCCCACTTCCAGTTAGCCAGAAAAGTCAGATCCGGTTGCATTTCCCTTATCCACTTAAGGCCCAAGCTGTCTTCCTGCTCATCTCGAATGTACCAGAAGTGGGAACTGTCCAGGTCTCCAAATGCCATACCATTATCAAACTCCTCCCATAGCAGACAAGGGCCATTGTAGTCCTCCCCCAGGAAGCCTTTGTGCTCGACAAACAATGGGTAAATGACAACCGTGTGAAACTGCAAGGCGCGGTATGATTTGTCCAACCACAAATCCCTCGTGATCAGTGCCTCCAGCTCTATTACCCATTCATCCAAGGGCTGTTCTCCCAGGAACGGCGTCCATAACTTCAGTTGTTCCCATTGGCGCTGGTCCATGGTCGGGAGGAAGTCTCTCCAGAAAGGTTGAATCTCTTCAAAGTCCGCCCTTCAAAGGTCGGTTCGGAGGTCTAGCTGACTGCCTCAATGAATATTTTTGTTCTGTATTTACAGATGAAAATTAAGGAAAGGGACCTCAGTTAAGAAAAAGGATAAATGAGTCATTTATTACACGTGAGTTTACAGAGGAAGAGGTTCTATTTCAACTGTCAAAAGTAAAGACAAATAAGTCAATGGGACCTGATGGAATACACCCAAAGCTATTAAAAGAGCTTAGTGGTGTACTAGCAAAACCATTAACAGATTTATTTAACCAATCATTGTTAACAGGAGTAGTCCCAGAAGATTGGAAGTTAGCGAATGTTGTGCCCATTTACAAGAAAGGTAATAGGGAGGAGTCGGGCAACTATAGGCCAGTAAGCCTTACTTCAGTAGTGGGGAAAGTGATGGAAACCATGTTAAAGGATAGGATTGATGAACATCTAAAAACACATGGATTTCAAGATCAGAGACAACATGGGTTTACTTCAGGGAGATCATGCCAAACTAATCTTATTGATTTTTTTGATTGGGTAACTAAAATTATAGATCAGGGTGGTGCAGTAGACATTGCTTACCTAGATTTCAGTAAGGCTTTTGACACTGTTGCACATAGAAGGCTTATCAATAAACTGCAATCTTTAAGTTTGGATTCCAATATTGTTGAATGGGTAAGGCAGTGGCTGAGTGACAGGCAACAGAGGGTTGTAGTTAATGGAATATATTCGAAGCTTGGACTTGTCACCAGTGGGGTACCTCAGGGATCTGTACTTGGACCCATTTTCTTTAATATTTTTATTAGTGATATTGCAGAAGGTCTTGATGGTAAGGTATGTCTTTTTGCTGATGATACTAAGATATGTAACAGGGTTGATGTTCCAGGAGGGATAAGCCAAATGACAAATGATTTAGGTAAACTAGAAAAATGGTCAGAATTGTGGCAACTGACATTTAATGTGGATAAGTGCAAGATAATGCATCTTGGACGTAAAAACCCAAGGGCAGAGTACAGAATATTTGATAGAGTCCTAACCTCAACATATGAGGAAAGGGATTTAGGGGTGATTATTTCTGATGACTTAAAGGTAGGCAGACAATGTAATAGAGCAGCAGGAAATGCTAGCAGAATGCTTGGTTGTATAGGGAGAGGTATTAGCAGTAGAAAGAGGGAAGTGCTCATGCCATTGTACAGAACACTGGTGAGACCTCACTTGGAGTATTGTACACAGTACTGGAGACCGTATCTTCAGAAGAATATTGATACCTTAGAGAGGGTTCAGAGAAGGGCTACTAAACTGGTTCATGGATTGCGGGATAAAACTTACCAGGAAAGGTTAAAGGATCTTAACATGTATAGCTTGGAGGAAAGACGAGACAGGGGGGATATGATAGAAACATTTAAATATATAAAGGGAATCAACACAGTAAAGGAGGAGACTATATTTAAAAGAAGAAAAACTACCACAACAAGAGGACATAGTCTTAAATTAGAGGGACAAAGCTTTAAAAATAATATCAGGAAGTATTACTTTACTGAGAGGGTAGTGGATGCATGGAATAGCCTTCCAGCTGAAGTGGTAGAGGTTAACACAGTAAAGGAGTTTAAGCATGCGTGGGATAGGCATAAGGCTATCCTAACTATAAGATAAGACTAGGGACTAATGAAAGTATTTAGAAAATTGGGCAGACTAGATGGGCCGAATGGTTCTTATCTGCAGTCACATTCTATGATACCAGGATCCTGATCGAGCTTCAGTAAAAAGTGTACTGGATACCAGAAGCCATCACCAGACTGATCCGCAACTTAGAACAGGATGTGACATTCACTGTAGCAGCTGTGCACGCTTTCAGGACATACTATACCATCAGTTGTTATTTTCTCATTTCATATGATGTACAAAGACGCATCTACACCACTCTGAAGAATCCCCCACTACAAAAGACTGTATTCACCTCTACAAGGATATACCTTGTTGTTTGATTCATCTACCAGTCAGACTATTTATTCTGGACTTCTATTTTGCTTAGTATCTATCATATATATTGTATTCTAGTCTGCCTATTCTGTGCTCTTTTAATTTATGTGGTTTATAGTGGCGCTGCCTTCCTTTCTTTTTTCTGTACCATTTCTGTTGTAAGGCCTGTGAGGGAGCCCTACTTTTTAGGTGTGCTGCCACTTTTTACTTATTTATTATTGTTTCTGTTGTATTTTGTATAGATAGAGAGCGCTGATCCCTTTCTTCTGTTCTTTCAGCGTTCTCACCCTGCTGCTGCTCGCCTGTCTGCTCTGCAGCGTAAGTTTGGCCTTCCTCATTCACTGCCTCATATGCGACGTGCCCACAAGGTGGAACTCCACTAGATGGGCCGAATGGTTCTTATCTGCCGTCACATTCTATGTTTCTATGTTTCTATGAGTGCCGACCTCCATTCTGGTACACTCCTGGCTGGGATAGGGTCATCATTACTCCTCAGGACATCCAGGAACAGCTGCAGGAGTCTTGTATCAAAGCAGGATACTGCACGGCCTTCCATACTGCAGTAGTGCTGGTTTTCCCAAGGCTAGGAAGCCTTCCCACCGCTGCCAACCAATTGTAGTGGAGCTCCCTGTACCCTGGCTGGGTACCTCCACCAAGGACCTCTTCCTAGCTGGAACAGGGGACAAATCGCAGTGCTTCTGCCAAAGGTCGCCGTGGCTTGTCTGGGGCCCTGGAACCGTTCCTCCCTGGAGCTGAATGGGGAATTAGCTCTTGACACCCACAGGCACTGGACAACACTCAGTCCTGGGAGCTCTTGTCCTTACAAGGACTTTCCCGTTGAATCTCCTGCAAGCTGGAACAGTAGACACAGGAGTAAATATTCAATAACAGAACGACACACAGTTTTGGAGTGTAAGCTGGAATAGATTTTAATGGTGCCACACTTGGCCTTTTATGCAAGTCCCCAAGCAAGGTTACGCCGACATGGACTTTGTTTGGGACAGGGACACTAACTTACAAACCAATAATAACACATTTACAATGTAAGGCACTCCTACACACAGCACACAATCCCTCCCCTCTGCTTGGAAGATAATTGGATCAGTAACTGTACTAATTCTAATCCAATTATCTCCAAGCACAGAAAAAACATACATTTCTAAAAAGTCCCAAAGTACCCCAAAATACATGATATCGCCACATGTTACATCCCCTGATAGCCCTGATCTGGGTGACCAACATATCCAAAAATCACCTAGATCAGTTTAGGGGTTCAGGAATTTCCTGGAAGTCATAGTTTTGACCGACCGTGGACATGGTCCTATGCCCAAAACAGTTCCAGGGAAATCAGTGCTAACAGTTTGTCAAGTTCGGTAGTCTTTTACAGGTTTTCCTGCAGGGCCCATAGTCTGTGTGCAGGAGGCTGACAAGCAGGCCACTCCAAGTACAAGTGGCGAGGTTACTTTCACCACAAACCCCATGTCACAGTCCTCTCATCCCATGACAAATGGGAAGCAGGCTCCTCCAGGAGCTCGTGGCAAACTCTCTTGGAGAGGGGAGTGTGTCACATCTTCCCTATACCACTCTCTACACCCCCTGAACACAGTACATCCTCACAGACAGTGAACCCTCTACATACAGTACACTCCCACCAACACAGAGTATATCTTTGCATATACACACAGTGCACCCCTCACACACGTCATACACACATGCACAAAGGTCACAGGCAGCCCCCATCAACACCACACACCGCAAGCAGCTACCCCACACAAATTCGGTCCCAGACACATACTCATAAAAACATACATTCACACACAAGTATACTCAGACACACACTTTCATGCACATTTACAGGTAGACAATGCCAGACACACTCAGAAATACACACACTGGCAGTAATGTATACACGACTGCAAGGCTATGTAATCTTCCCCCACAGTTGTGTATAAATGATTAGCGTAATTGGTAATTAAATTTGTTTATTGCAAATTTATTTAGTTTGCAAATTATGCCATAGCTACAGTTGGAGAGCTCACAACACAGCGGCACAGGGAACCGCGACACTGCAAGCCTGTGAACATTGAATACAGAGACTAGCGCTCTGTTACTGGGATCCTTAAATAAATCCACACAGGAGACATAGTTCCAAAAGGAACTAGCATACAATACTTTATTTTTGAACAAGGACTAACCTTTGCCGACTGGTCCTTTAGCACAGGGTTAAAAATATAAAAAAAAAATAAAATAAAATAAACAAACGTCCATATCTTGAAAATGAAACTACATAATACTGAACCAAATATATGATGCAATTGGAAATTTACAGATTATGAAAAAATACCTGGACTAGGGACATACAGATGCAACTTGTCATATTTTAGTATTTTCCTAATTTGCATATTGTGATAATACAAATCAGTTTTCAGTTTCCTCAACAGAGGGCAATGGAGAGTCAGCACAAATTTGATAAAACATACTCTTTAAAAAAATCTTTGCAACAGTGAGCATTAAGCAGAGAGTTGTAGTGAGTTAAAATATTCAGAACAACTTGCTGGGATGGAAAAATCTAATTCAGCAGCCAAACATTTTATTAACTGGCCAATTTTGGCCTGAAATTTGCAAGTCACTTCACAACTTGTTTAAGGAATAGAACCCATAGCTGAATTTTTTAAATATATTTATTTATTTTTTAATTCTTTACTTTTTCAAGTGCATAGATGGACAGGCAGGAATACGTAGACATTTCTCAGATGATATAAACATCAGCAAAAGGTATAGGCATTGTTTGAGATGTCAAGGACATAGCACTTGTTTTTTATGGTAATTAAAAGAAACATGAACAATTTAACGACTGCCAAGATTTAGTGTGTGGAAGCCACCAGTGGGTCAGATGTCTGAGTCAGTCGGTCCCTTCACTGTGTCGAGGTATGTGAGTAGCTATCTGTTCGCCAGAATAATTATGGATAAACAGCATTGTAGAAA